CAGACCATTTTCTGTTTGATATAAATCTTAGTAATGCTTTTAGAAATGGTTCAATTTGACTTGATTACAGCATTCAACATAGCAATAAAGAAATTTAAAGGGAAAAGAAAGATTTGTTTTGACTTTTATAATATTTGGGGGATATTTTTTTTAACTTGTTGACATAAATGTTGAAAAGGAGAAAAAAGTAAGGGTGCTCTTTTTTGTGAGTGTGGTGCTTCCCAAGAGCTGTGCATCAAACATTCAGAACAGATATTATCCTTTCTGAAAAGATGGTTTAAAAAAATGCTGAGCTCTTAACTCTTTTATTTTTCTTCTTTCTACTTCTTTCCTTCATTACTCCCTTCTTCTTTCTCATTTATGTCAGTCTTGTTTAAGAAAAAAACATTTTAAGCAAAATTAGTTAATTGTTCATATCCTTTCTGTCTAAAATACTCAATGATTTTGTGCCATTGAAATGCTTATTTTCTTTGAATTGTCAAAAAACCTTCAAAATTATTGGTTTCATACTTCAGTTTTAAGGCTGCTACAGACAGTGAGCAATTTACAGTAAACCTTTTCCCTCCTCTCATTGAATTCTTTCTGTTAACAGTTGAACTTAGAGGTAATTTCCAACTTTTAACAATTCTACGATTCAGTTTCCCCCCCTTTGCTGAGTTACAGTGACAGTGCAAATATTTGTCATTAACTTGGCTGCTTGGTGAAGCAGAATCAGTTTGTGTCATATGATGTTTCTTTAGGAATCTAATGAATGTGACAGGAATGGCTGCGCTGGCTCGCTGTCAAAGCCTGCCTAGACCAGTGCACACCAGCTGCAAACAGATGTGGATTCCAGATGTGGAAGGCAGGGAGCAAAAACAGTCTTGAGACTGGGGATGGGGAAGCCCAGCAGTTGCTTTTTCCATTTCCAGGTTGGAGCACCACAGGGATGGATCTACTGTTTTCTTGGATGCCCTCAAGAAATAATAGCTGCTCTGAGGTCTTCCCTACCAGGTCACTGGAGAGTTTTATTGTTTTGGACTTTTTCACCCAAAACTTGGAATCATACTTTTTTTGAAAAAAAAAAAAAATCTCTTTACTTGTGGGTTTTTTTTAAGGAGAGAGAGAGTATACAGGGTTTTTAGTCAGTTCTTTAGGGGAGGGCAGCAGCAGTGGCCATATGCAGGTACTTAGGGAAGAATAAGAATCAAGGTACTCTATGATATCTTCCCAGAATGCTCTCCCAATATCTGCTATTTTTAGTTTAATGAAGGGATAAGCTACCCTGAGCCAGATGTGATATTGAGTAACCCACAATTAACTTCTTTCATGAACTTGCCTAATACGTGATCCTTGTCTTGATGTAGGTTTAGCATCCACAGTTTGCTTTGCTGGTGTTTTTGGAACCCCTTGCAAGGCTGCTATTTTTTACATGAAAAACTGCACCTTACTAACCTTGAATGTACCTATTGCAATGTTTACTCTGTGCTCTAGACTTTGTATTGGAAGAAATATTAAGGCTGAATTGTGTGTCCACTTCTTTTGTGTTACTTTTGCTTCTAGAAATTTCTTGTATCAGCTGTAGCAGGGAGTCCCACTTGGGTAGTTTTTCTTGTACAGAAGCCATTCCACACTGTTGGTCATCTCAGAAGTAAGACTGAGGATGTGCATAAGAAACAGAAGGGTCTGAAAAGAGAGACTAGATGGAAAAGCAGATGTGTGATTTCCACATTAAGAATTAAAATTGTTTGAAAGTGGAGTGGAAGGTTTTGCAGTTAGGAGATTTTTTTCTGCGCATATTACAAGTGTTTATTACGGAGATTAAGTATTGACAGCAGAGTCAAAGTTAAACAAATCCATCTAAGTTCTAGGTCTAAACTATCATTTAACAAAAGCATTTTTTCTGCCAGTTGCTTCACCTTTTGGTATTTTGGCTCATCCCTCTGCCTTTCCATCCCTTCATCCCTGATTCCAGCTGGCATCTGTTGCCTCTGTGTAGCTATACCAAGTGCTGTGCAGTGACAGTCAGAGTCACAGTCTCTCTTTTTGAGATGCTGAAAGAGTCACAAAGTTTTCTGGAATTTCTCCAAAAATAACTCCAGTGCTGTGATCCAAGGGAAAAAACATTTGAGGAGTCATGAGTTAAAGAAGAGATTCTGAAATGAGTGAGTCTTCACTTGAGTCTCTTGGGGGGCCTCAGACTGCAGATTATTTTCTGTTTTCATTCAATGATCTCATGAATAAAAATGGTTACTGTTTTCCCAGGTGGTAAATGCTGAAGCATGAAAAATCAAGGCTCTCAGAGAATGTAGTGGCGCCTGTAGAAGAAACACATATTCTTTCTCCATACTTGAAATTAAAAATAGCACAGTTTTGACTTTCTAGTGACTTCCAGTGTTACATGGCTGAGGAGGAGGCAAGAACATGAGTTCTCTAGAGCATGGTATCACAATGATAGGGCAGGTCAAAGGATAAAGCAGAGATACTTAATAGAACATAATTAAAATGCAGTCAGTCTATGAAATGTTGTAAACAGATAAGAAAGGAGAAAACAGACTTCAATATATTTTTTTAAAACTGCATCTCAGTGACTATATGAATGGGCACTGACATGTGTTTGACAGAGTATTGAGGGGCTTTACTCAGCAGACACAGTACTCCTTGCATTCCCAGATCCCAAGTCCTTTATTCCTAAAGAACACAAGTTAAAAACCCCAACTAAACGTTGAAAAGTACATCTTTGGCTGTTTGGCTGGGTTTTTGTTCCCTGTTCTCTATCATCAAAGTCACTGTTCTGCCTCTAGTGCTGTATGTCCATCCCTTGTTTTTTATCTTGTTGCAATAATTGGTAAGTTGCAACAATTCTAGCCAAGTCTTTGTGGGGTTTTCAGCTCTTCTTGCATGAGTTTTAATGAGGAGTGTTGCCAGAAACTGTGATTCCATAAAGTGGAGAACTGAAACGCAAAAATAAGCATTAGGTATTCTTAGTAAGGAGAGCTGAAGGCCTCCCATCTTTAAAACAACTGTAATTAACTCTGCTAAACCTAAGGATGTACATATGTGCTCTCTCCTTGTGTGTTAGAGTTTGTACCTGTCTGCCAATGTGCATGTACAAATATGGAAGAAAATTAAATGTGCTCAACGCTTGGCCATAGGTCTAAAATAGTCTTTTAAAACATACACAGAAAACAAGAAGCAGCATATTTAGTCAGGTGTTTCACATGAGAAGTAAGCTGTTATCAGTTTTCTTATCAGGTGATGCCTGTGCAAGTCTGGTTGGCTGGTGGAGCAATTTCAAAATCAACATACTTCTTATGGGGTGGGAATTTCTTGCCACTACCTTTTGCATTAGAGATGGTTAGCTCACAATTGAGGAAGAACTCAAAAGAGGGAAAATCCCCAGTGTCTGCTAGATACAAAGCTAAGTCAAGGTTCAAGCAACTCATGTCTGATGCCAGCTCTATTTTAGCACATTCTAAGACAAGTCTTACAGGCCTCAGTTTACACCCACTCACTTGAATATGCTTGGCTCAGGCTGGAAATTATTGTGAAACGCTGTCTTTTAACTCCCAAGGACTATTCATAGTTAAAAAACAAACCAAAGCCTATTTCAATATTTAGTGAGGTTGTACTCAGTGATACCCTAAAATAGTCAAAGTGAAGATTAAAAATTAAATAAACCTTGCAAAACGAAGCAATTTACAAGAACAGTAAAATGATTTATACCTAAACCTAAACAAGCAGACAGTGGCAGCAGCAAAGTCAGTCTTGACTTGCCAGATGCTATATTTGTAGCTTGACTTTGAAGGTTTATCAAAGTGCAGCACTGCTTCACTGAGGGACTGAATCACAGCTGCATGGCAGAAGAGTCTGCGTGCAGCAAACACTTGGGATTTTCCAGGAGGCCAGTTTGATTTCCCACTCTCCTGTTAAGTGGAGGCATGTAAACATCTGCCCTTGGATTTATTACATTGATATGAACTGCCTGACCCCTTAAGTCCCGTGATGCAGGGCCTATTATGTATCGCCTCTAGGGAATATCACACTGCTGGTCTGAAAACATTCCTTGGCAGTGTTTTTACCCATGAGCTGCAGAGAAAAGTAGGAAAAGGAGCCACGTGCTGCCACCTTTTTATTTATTTTTTTTAAGATGGAAAGTTTTCTATCTGGTATATCAAAAGTTTGGGAAAACAGTGATCTCTGTGGAGTTGCTGCTCAGAGCACAAAAAAAAAACCCAAAAAAACCAGAGCTGTGTGGAGGGTTTTTCCCCCCATGAATTACTTTTCAGTATTTCATGGTAACTTAATTTTAAGCTGCATTTTAAGAGGCATTTACTGAGTTCTTTTTCCCTTTGTATTGTTCCTAGTTTCTGCAATACTGTTTTTGAGGTACTGTAATCCTAAATATTTTTCCAAAAGAGAAAGTTATCTAAAAATGACAGTAGGGTTTTGCAAAATTAAGTAAGAAGCCAAAATAGGAGCATGGATGCATAAGCAATACCAAGGGAGGATTAACTGCTGGTATCTAAAATGTTCCTGACTATACTTTGTTACTCACCCGTTATTTGCATTTACATTGTCGGAGTATCTTTGCATTTTTTGTTGTTTGAAATTCCCCAGGAGCATCCCAAATAGTAGGTTAGTAACACTCCAGACTAGAAAAGGCCACGAGAAATATGTGATGACAAGATTTCAGCTATTTTCCAGCTTTTGGATCGAATGCAGGTGTCAGGACACAAAGGCATGCTGTCACTGATGCCCTGTGCCAGGATGGGGCCGCTGTGCTGCATTCACTCCTCCAGATACCACAGGGATCCTAGAAACAAGCGATCCAAAGATAGTCCTTAGGTCAGCAGTGAAACAGATCCGTGCTCTGGAGTGCAGGGACAGCACCCCTGTGACATCCCCGAGCCACTGAGCTAGGGTAACAAGCTGCCTTCATGTTGTGAAATGCTTCAGTCAGCTGATCACTGTGCCACAAGGATGGGTTTATTTGCTTAAATGAAGAACAGCAACAAGTGTAAAACACCACACATTACCTTTATCTCCAACAACATAGTACCGATGAAAAGGTAGCAGGAAAACATTCCCTGGCAGCACTCAGCACAAACATGGTTCTCTTTGGAGGTTTCTCATGCTGCCTCAGTAGCTCTTTGGCTTCATTTTGACCTCTGTGTTTGTAGCCTTAGAACAGGGTAAGTGGGTCATGTAAGATAAATCACTGCTTTTCAGTAGTGCTTCCCAGGGCATTATAGATCACTGTAGATGTAAGACTATTAAATGTGTGCATGAGCCTATGAAAATAATTTTTCATCATAAGCTTGATCTGGTGTGGAGCTTGGAGACTGTTATATATGAACCCCGAGGGAGAAAAGATTAGGTTCCAAGATTTTGGCTGCAAAAGGCTAAGGCTAAGTCATCAGAATTTTAAGCTGTTTCAGTGACCAAAGTTATTTTTATTTTTGGAAGTGAATTATTGATGACACATCCCCACAGCCCTCGGCACGCAACCTCAGCTGTCACATTCCTCCCTGCCTAGCTACAAAATGCATCTGATGCTCTTATATGGTCTCTTGGCTGGGGCTGTTGGCCTTGGAGCCTCTCAGCAGTTAAGGGGTTTGTGCTCACTTGCAGGTTAACTGGTCTCTTAAAATATAAAAAACCAGGGAAACTGGAACTTGGGAGGTTATCATCATAGTCACACACCCTTGGATATTCTTTCTCAGTAACACATCTTCCTGAGCAGGTATCTTCACCTCTGCACAGTTCTGTCTCACCCTCTACTCAGAGGGAGCATGCAAGGGACAAAATGGCTACACCTCACATTTCAGCTGGCTGGTCAGAAAACAAAAGCAGCAGTACAGAATATTTTTGAAGTGGACAATTTCCTCTCAAGGAGGATACCAGGTTCTCTTTTATGTAGTTCATACTTATGATTTTAAAATTTCTACTTCGAGCAAGAAAAATCTAGCTGGTACACCTGCTGCTTTCTCAGTGTAACATAGCAGCACCTAACATTTACAGAGAAAACAGGATCAGGAAAAGAAGGTTTTAGGGATCCAGGGTTCCTAACAACAGTAAATTGCTCTCTGAATCTAAATGCCATTTAGACACTCAAAGGGAAAAAATATCTTACATCTGTTCTTCGAGCAGGCATGTATGCACACAGTACTGAGTTGCAGCAGTGACAAGATCAGTCTAAAAAAGTGACAGCATAACTTGTTCTCCAGCCTAACGTTACATGGCAACGTTTCTACAAGACAGCTTCCTAAATCTCCACTCTCTCATCTTTGTCACAAGGGCACTGCTGGTGAAAACTTCCATGCATACTTGTAAACTACTTCCTAGAACCTTGCAGGTGTCACATGGAGAAATAACTCAGCAGCCATTACTGAAGACCACCAAGACAGTTAAAAAGCAAACTTTCAATAAATGAAGCAGCTGTGACAACCTAAAGCAGTGTAGAATATAATGTAGGTAGGAGAAAAAGTGAGGGTAAGTTTGTTAGCAGATAAAACACAAAACTGGGAAAAGAATGGTTGAAAACTCAATTTTAATTAAGCCCGTAAGTGGAAAAAACGACCCTGGAATAAAAAAATAAAAAATAGTCCAAGTACGCCAACTGAGTATACTTTGTCAAGTTATTTACAAACCTGAAGCCAGAATATCTTTCAGAGTTGCCATATGGGAACACATGCAAGATTAAGTAACCAAGCCTTCATGCTATCACACATGGAATGAGACAAACCCACCTTACAGGATAAGCTGTCAGAGCCTTTACAATCCCTTGTGCTGAATTTCTACTCCTTGGGGTCTTAAGTTGTGTGATATAGCTGAGGGCAAGTTTCTGGATAAAAGGTCATTGTTTTAATTGATAAATACATAGGCAAAATAAATTCTCCTCCTGCTTTCTAACTTGCAGTAGCCAAGAGAATGAGGCACACAGAAAAGCATGGTCATACTAAGAACTAACAGAACAATCCTCCTGTTTTCTTTGTGTTTGAGACAACATCAGCACAACCAGTTCTGAATGACTAACTGTGCTTGGTTAAAAGCCATCTTGCCAATACATCTGAGGAGTATGTATATAATTTAAAAAGTGAGAGCAACTTCACCACCTATAGGTTTTACCAGTTAATTCTCAGAATGACTTGGTCACATTCTCACATGCAAATCAATTAGCTGTAGAAAAATAAAGCTTTGTGTAGTTTTCTGGCCATGTATTGCTGTTAATTAGTGCCAGCACAGACTCTTTTGCTCAAGCTTCCTTCAGCAGAAGGGAAAAAATATGCCTAATTCCCCGTTACTTAGCAAAGAATGCCCACTTTGACATGAAAGTACTGCTAGAAAACTCATCAATATTAAAAGGAAGCAAAAGCTGGGCATAGTATCTGCTTAAGAATCAAATGTTCTCTACTAGCCATGAGGCAATTGTAACAGTCTTCCCTAACCATTTATTTGGTTAACTACTTACACAGTAGTCAGATCCCGCTTCAAAAACCTGAGATGAAAGACTTCTGCAGATGCATTTTTAAAGATGCCAGCAGATGCTGCTAGGAGCATTTCAGAACAACTCTGACACTGAACAAAACACCATGAAAATGAGTTTTCCAGCTTGACTTGCAACGGCAAGAAAAATACAATGAACGCACTTGCATTTGTAAATGTGTAATAGAAATTTCATTCTTCACAAAAGATTTTGAGGTATTTTATCTATATAGCAATCTTTATTTCAAAATGGCATTTATTACAAAAATGTAAAAATCCAGCAAAACCAGGAATCTTGAGATTATTTTCCTGGACTATCAATTCCAGGGAATGTTTTTCCTGTAGCCTTTCCCTCAAAATATTTTCCCTGCTTCCAGTCTGATTACAGGTGCAAATGTGCCTAAATGGCCTGGAATAGATAAATATATTGAAAAAGACAAAAGCTTTGGAGCTAAATGCATGCAACAAGTTCTATCAGGAAGAAACCATTAAAAATAAACATAAATGTAGAGAATGTGCAGGTATCCAGGGACTTGCTCAGTCATCCTTGTCCTTGGCTCCATGTTTGAGGATGCGCGTGAACTCGATGTAGTTGAAGTTGCCCTTCTTGTCGATGGGGGCCTCTCTGTACAGCTCATCCACCTCCTCATCCGTGAACCTGTCCCCCATGGTGGTCAGCAGCTCCCGCAGGTAGTCCTCCTGGATGAACCCTGGAGCACAGCGCAGGAGGACAGAAGAGAGTTTTTACATTTATCTGCTAATACATGCGTGATAATTTCTTTCTTTGAGTTCTTTCCCTCAATTAAAAGATACCTACAGTCTTCGTCTGCCAAATGAAAACAATACCATTAAACCCTATCACTAAAATTGCCAAATAATTACAAGTATTCAATGAAATCAGGCATCTTAGTTTGAAAAGTCTCACTACTTCAAATAAAGACCATTATATGCTTTACCTGTGGTGTTCTATAGAATATAAAAAATTATCAGCATTCATATTGGACATTCTTCCCAACAGCAGGGCTACACTCCCAAGAGTACCAAGAACCTTCTAACTCGGTATTTTAAAAATCACAAAAGGGTTCAGCTTACCTTGAGACTTCTTATTGAAAAACCACAAAAAAAAGAAAGTAATGGAACTTGACTATTAACATTCAACAAGTGCATGAAACATGGGAAAGTTTACAACATTTCAAATTGATCTTAAATCACTGGTAAAACTAAGATTTACCAGATTGGTTGCAAAGAATAAATTCTTGGCGTGGTTTATTAAACAAGTAGGCTTGTTTAACTTGTGATTGCTTTTATCATCACTCCTGTGAGTCACACAAGAATTTTCCTGCATTCATTTCCTTCTCCTTTTAGTGCACCTTAACAGAGGGAAGGTGGATATATGTTGCTGACTGAAAAGTTCTTCACAAAAGCACAACAGCTTTGAAAACAGTGATTGCCCTCAAAAAAGCGGCCCCAAAGGTGAATTTTAAGTTAGGAAAAATTAAGACCCTGGTTCCCGATCAACATCTTTTATACTTTCTTCTGTCTTCACCAGAATGAACTGCCAGAAATTTGAAATTTCTACAGAGACTGAAAAGGCAAATTTAGCACGAGGATACACTCATGATTTTCAGTTTGCAGAAATTAAAATTTTCAGAGTTAAAAAACTGATCACCACTTCTATGAAGACAAGTATTTGTTGTTACAGAAGTAAGCAGAAGTAATACATGTGCACTGTTGTTTCACCCACGTACCTGTTGCTTCTTCATCAAAACAAGCAAAAGCATTCCTGATTACATCCTCTGGGTCGGTGCCATTTAACTTCTCACCAAACATGGTGAGGAACATGGTGAAGTTGATGGGGCCTGGAGCCTCATTCATCATGGCATCCAGGTATTCATCCGTTGGATTCTTTCCTACAAATAAAGGGATTCATACTCGGTTTAGCTTTCAAACTGAACAAGTAATCTCAATATAAACCGAGTGTTAACACAAACTGAGACACCTCTCACATCCCAAACTCAGCATTTTGATCTTTGCAGCACAAATTTGCCTGCCAAGCATGAACAGAGGAAAGGGCCATTACCAAGGGAGGCGAGCATGTCGTGCAGGTCCTCTTTGTCAATGAAGCCATCCCTGTTCTGGTCGATCATGTTGAAGGCCTCCTTGAATTCCTGGATCTGCGACTGATCGAACATGGCAAACACATTGGAAGTGGCGCGCTGAGGGCGCTTCTTGGTGGTCTTCGTCTTTGCTCTTTTGCTAGACATGGTGGCTGTTGGTTCTAAGGAGACAGAAATATATCCAAGATTTAGCCTTATTAAATCACATTGCAAGTCCCAGGGGTAGAGGAACATCAGGCTTCATATGCTTTTATGGGCATAGACCCTGAAGTACACATCTATTTCAATATCTCCTGCTCCATTTTCCTTCATACTTCACTTGCTATGAAAGCATAAAGCCTTTGAGGATTGAGGGACCAGCACAGTAGGCCAATAGGAGGCTATATAAAAAAAGCCCAAATCAAATCAAAGCTCTTGAAACTCACACAGTGCCTGTGTTGCTGATTCAATACTCCACCTGCATCTTCCACAAATTAATACAACTACATATGCAGGAATTTGCGAGGCACTGTTGACATAGAAGGTTATGTGCTGGTAAACTAGCACAGTGGTTAAATAGATCAGACAGTATGCTAAACTAACATTTTGGTGGAAAAAAATGTATTTTAGGCTCTAAATAGCATTTTGTTAGACTAGCTACCATTGAGAAAGAGACAGCACCAACTTCGCTCAAAAGTTCTACAGCGCTATTCTCTTACACAGTGGAACTACTACACAACACATGCAAATGCCAACACACTCTTTTTAGAATTAATTAAAAGGTAAGATCGCTACAAAAATGCGAAGACTGTTACTTTTAAGCTACCAACCCTCAGAAACATTTATATGTTTTTACAAATTTTCACATATCACAGGTATACTAATGTTACTGTTTCCCTTGAAACTGTAATATGAAGAAATAAACATGGTAGATTATTATATATTATAACATTATTACATTCAGGCTACAAGTGAGGCTTTTAAATTAACCGCATCTCTTTATCTGGAAAGATACATGTAGTGTTCCAACTAAATGTATGACAGCACAAACTGGAAAAGCTGAGTCATTCACCGAAAGGCAAACACAAAGTCCTCAAGACTGCTTTCGGATCAGAAGTTAGACCCTTTTTAATGTTGTTTCCAAAAGTCTCATAACCTCTGCTTGCATTAGCTAAAACTGAAGTGTTATCTGTACTGCTAAAATCCCTCATAATGCTCAAAGTGTTATGCAAACCAAATTCCTTCCTTCCTTGACTCTGAATTTACAGAAAGCACCTGTAGCAAAGTGTCTCCTGAAAGAAGAAAATTTAAGCTTCACTAGTAATTGCAAGAATATCAATATTCTGAAATCTACACTAAGTATTAATTTTATAATTTAGAAACAAATCATCTGGTCAGAACAGCAATGCTAACTGGAGACATAGCACAGTTCTAACTGTTCCTCAAATAGTTTTGTCAAAGATAGAATATTTTCTGTTAGAGTCCTGAAAAGCAAGACTGAAGTCACTAACTGGGATTCATCCTTAAAGAAAAAGGGAGTAAAATTAAGCAAAGTAACTCCCTTATACAATCAACCCAATATGCAGACACAAAGCAGTTATTTTTGGGTTTTTTTTTTAACTAAAAGGAAAGACATTTTACCTTGCTTTGTATTAGATACCTGACAGGGTGTACCAAGCATCTGGATCATAAAAGGAAATTCCATGGTTATGTCCTTCTCAGTCTGTCCACACAGACAGCTACTGATGTCCCCTGCTAATTCCACACTTTTAAATCCTACGTGCATCCACAACGTTCTTCTGACGTACAAAACAAACCATTATGTCCCGAACTAAAAATAGCCCCTGAAATGTAACTGCGCATCGCTCAACAACGCAGACGTTCCCTCTCGCCGCTGCCCTCACCAACCACCAGCTACCCGAGATGTCTGGCCTCCACAACACTGCAACAAATAAACCTCAGCTCTTGACTTCCAGATACTTATGCTGACAGCTGACAACAAAGGTAGTTTGCTTTCAAGCTGCAGCCAAGCGTTGTGCGTAACTTTGGTGGTTTTCTTACCGCTGTTAAAAAAACCCCAGGCAAGCTCTCATTTGACTCTGGGTTATTGATTAGAAGTCCCACTACTCAAAATAGAGCCAAACAGCATCTTTTAATTACTCTTCTCTGAAATAACACAGTTTTCAGGATATGGCTCATTCAAAGTAAACAAAAAAATTTACTCTGCACTTGCTGATGCCAGCCAAATTAATTTTTGCCTTTTTACTTTTATATATCTCCATATTCTTTACATATATATTTGCAGCTCTCTAGCCTATTATTGTATTGATAGCTAGCATTTACCTACTCTATTAGAAAGACAAAATACATGCCCCAGCAGCTCTACGGCCTTGAGGTTACATTATTTTGGATCCCAGGACAAAACGGCTTCCTAACATTTCATAAAGTTTAGTTCATATCTAAAGGGGGGTTAGGGGTGTTCAGAAAAGGGGAGAACCAGGGGCAAATTATCTCATCACCTCTGTCTCTAATTGGGGATTCTTGTCAGTGATGCTAATTTGCTGAACCTATAAAATTGTATCCATTTCTTACAGTATGCACCTTCAGCGCTTTTTCATCCTGCATGTTGTGCACCATAAGGATCCTTATAATGGTAATCCCTTTTTATCACCTATTTGTGTCTGGCTTGTAATTCTGGGATCAGTGAAAAGGCATAAGTGCTGCAAAGGCAGTGCTCCCAGCAAGCCACTACATGCAATTGTCTCACTACAATTCAATCCTTAGCAAGAGGAGGCAAAAAAGCAGGCTGTCAGCACATTCTTTTTAATTCTGTTGAGAAGACTGACCTATCAGAGTATATTTTACTTATTAGAAAAACAAAACATTATTTATTAGAAAAACAAAAAAAGTGCCAATGCTTTAATATTGTCTAAGTTTCTCTGAACCAGACTTGGGAACTCCTCCAGTCCAAAAAAGCTGCCAGCCCAGGTACAGAGAAACATCAGATCTCACAGGACTGCAGTGCCCTTCAGCACAGGTTTGCTGCAGCTATGCCTGAAACACTGGCCTCAGCTCCAGGAATCTCTGTTAGAAAAGAGGGTGGTACTTTTTGGAACAAGTTCAGAAAACCAAAGGCATCAATCCAGTTAGCCAAAGAGAACAATTTATCATTTAAAAGTTCCAGAAGTGCTTGCACTTAGTGTTACCCAACAAAAAGATCCACATTTATGCCAACATTTTTGTAATTGAAATAGGGTTAGTATAGGCTGGAAATAGAATTTCAGTAGATAAAAAGTGGGAATACTTTGCATTAGATAGTGCAAGTCATGACATGCTGGTTTAGTCCCTGTTGTTTAGTACTGTGCTGCACTGAATGGTCTGGGCCCTGTTTTGGAAGCTGTCCAAGAAACTTCAAATGTAAGACATTACCTGTGAGACACATCATAAGGTATTTCTTAAAGTGCAACCTTTCTCTAGGAAGATTTTCACATATTAAAAGAACAATAAATAGGTAGTAGCAGCACTGTGCTGCTTTGTGCTGCCTGTATTGCCATTTTTTCAGCCACAGTGGATATCAAACCACAGAAGCACAGAGAATCATCTTGTGGTCCCTTCCTCTGGGAAAGTGATAAACCCTTGAGGAAAAAAAAAACCCAAGCAACTAAAGATTTTGAACGATGCACTAAGCTGTGAAAATTTACAGCCACTAACAATGGTGCAAGCTGGACCTGCTCGGAGGCAGTGACCAACAGTTATGCTTTAGAAAACACTCCCATGTTTCAAAATTGTGACTATTGTAATAGATGCAAAATCTATTACTGAAAAAACCAAACTACGACACAATAAATCCCCAAACCCGTAGCCAAGAAAGTCCCTGCATGAACTAAGATAGAACATCAAACTCAAAAGTCAGCCTCAAAGCTAAATCCCAAGTTCTGTCCACATACTCAACTGCAGCATCACATACAGTCACACATCCATCACAATCTGGGTGCCAACAGGAAGAGATAAGAGCCAAGTGCTCTCCAGCAAATCTGTGTCAACGCTCAATAAAGAGCAGATTATACTTTACGAAAGCAAATTAGCAAAAACCAAACCCTACGCTGTCCCACCCAGTCTTAAAAGCCACTTTAACACACTTCTCACTAATAAGCTTCCCAAAACCCTTGTACAGAATCACACTTGCTGCAAAATCCAGCGCCAGTGAGTCAACACAGCCTGTCTGCAAAAGAGAAAACAAGGCTCAGAGGTGACCTTACCACTCTCTACAACCACCTGAAAGTAGGGTGTAGCCAAATAGGGCTCGGCCTCTTGTCCCAGTCAGTAAGCGACAGGATGAGAGGACAGTCGGAACCTGTGCCAGGTTTAGGTTGGACATTAGGAAGAACTCCTTCACAGACAGGGTGATCAGACATTGGAATGGGGTGCCCAGGGAGGTGGTGGAATCACCATCCCTAGAGGTGTTCAATAAAGACCGGACGTGGCCCTCAGCGCCATGCTCCAGTTCCATTGTGGTCGGTCGCAGCTGGACTCGATGATTTCAGAGATCTTTTCTAACCTAATTGATTCTGAGAGCCGGGGAACCACCGCACGCAATCCCCTGGGTGGCTCTGGTTATTCCAAAACGTGAGCAGGAAGGGACAGACTCAGGCCCACTACCCCATCCTCTCCCGACCGCAGCAGGTCCCAGCCCTGCCCCTCCCATGCTCGCACAAAGCCGAGGAAACACCCGCAGAGGGCTCGTTGTGGCCGGGAGGCAGCCGAGCCCTTCCGACAGGGAAACAAACATCTTTTAACACCCGTTCCCTGAAACGGTGCACAGGGAGCTCCAGGCCCCGCGACCCCCGGAACCGGGGTCTCTCCCAGCTCCAGCCCGCAGGACGGATCCCCGTCCCCGTCAAGAGCAGCATCACCCAGCCGAAGCCCGAGGAGAGCTGCGGGGGGCGACGCCGCAAGCGACCCCCAGGCCGGCACCGCCCACCCCTCACCGGCGGCCGGCGCAGACCCGCGGGCAGCGAGCGGAGCCCCCCGACTCACCTGGTGGCAGGAGACGGCACCGGCGGGGAGCGGCTGGAGCGACACTTCCGGAAAGCGGAGCGGCCGCCGCCCTGCCGGGCAGGAAGGAAGCTGTGGGCGAGACCATCTGCGCAGGAGGGGAAGGTGGCGGCTTGTCTCATCGCTTCCGCTGTCGGGCGCCACGAGTCGTGTCGGGAAGAGGACCCACGTGTTTCGTGTTTTTAGTCTGTATGCTCTGCCTTCCTTGAAGGAGAAAGCCAGAGCCACGAACTCAGCTCCTCAACCCTGTGTGTGCGTTATCTCCCCTCCTCCGGGACGCGTTGGTGCAGCGCAGTGTGGTCACCACATTCCACGGGCGAGGGGCGGAGGCAGTCGCGCGCCTGCCCTTGTAAGGCAACGGCGGGAGTTTCCTGGTCGCGCCGGTGGGCGGGGCCATGCCGCTCGCCCCGCCCCTTCCCTGCCCCGCTCCGGCCCTGGGCTGGCCGGGGGATCCGTGGGGTGTGAGGGGGAGCGGGACCACAGAGCCACTGGGTGGGCAGGCCAGGAGGGACTCAGGGACCGCCATCTGGTGCAGCCTCTGCTCAAGTACGTGGCACAGGATTGCATCCATACGGTTCTTGAATATCCCCAGTGAGGGAGATGCCAAACCCTGTCTGGGATGCCTGTTTCAGTGTGTGGTCACCCACACAGTAAAGAAGTTCCTCCTCATGATCAGGTGGCACTTCCTGGGGATCTGACTCCTTGGCACCACCGAGAAGAGCCTGGCTCCATCCTTTTGACTCTCCCTTCAAATTCTGATGAGATAAATAGAGCCAGGAGACCTGCTCTTTTAAAAAGGCCTTCATTAAAAACAGCTCTGGGTGGGGAACCCGAGGGGTTGCGCACACCGCCGCTGCTACCACAGGAGGAAGCTGAGGAGAAAGGGGTGCAGCTTTGTCTCTCAGGAGAATGAGAGCTGATGCTGGCTCATAGATTAGGGGTGTCATCCAAGCTGAGTACTATTAAAATTATGGTGACAGGACAGAATCCAGCTCTGGTCAATGGTGGGTGATTTCATGTGGTTCTGCTGGGTTAAAATCATAGTTTATGTGCTGGTTTGTTGTTTTTGAGAGGGTTCATATAGTACCAACAGCCTCTCATTTAAATTCAGTCCAGGTGCAAGTGCTTCTAGGAGCAGGTGAAGTGGTTCCCGATGGAAAGGGATACAAATACAGGGTAAAATAGTAACACTTAACACTAAAGGCGAGTCCCAGAACTCTAACATTCAATATTCAACAACAGACCGACACTTCAAATTAAGACCCTATCAACTTCATCAACATCAACTAGCAATTTACCACTCTGAAAAAGAGCTCTCATCTCCAGGGTTTCATTTCGCACATTTACATTTAAAAGATCCCCTCTCAGTCATCTTGAGGCTGAACAGGCCCAACTCCCTCAGCCTTTCCTCTTAGGAGAGGTGCTCTAGTCCCTTGATTATCTTTGCAGCTCTGGACAGCCCAGCACATGGTATGGCGCTGCCCTGCATGCTCAGCAGCTGCTACTGTGTCTGGAAGATTTACAGAAGATCACAGATTATCCTGACTTGGAAGGGACCTACAGGGGTCATAAAAGTCCAGCTCCTGGCCCTGCACAGGACACCCCAAGGATCACACCTTGTGCCTGGGAGCATTATCCAAACACTCCTTGAGCTCTGTCAGGCTTGGTGCTGTGACCACTTCCCTGCGGAGACTGTTCCAGTGCCCAACTATCCTCTGGAAGAAGAACTTTTATTTTTTTTTTTTC